AGCTGCCTCTACCCATTCTAGAATGCAAACCTCAGTGCACCATTTCCAAAGTAAATGTTGAAAGAAAAAAACATTTGAACCTATCGGCTATCTTTAGTAAAGGTAGAAAGGAGGAGTAGAGAGTGCAAGAGCTTTGGGGAGAAACTTATGTTCAAATCTCAGCTGCCAATCGACTAGCTGCAGGACTGTGGGCAGTTTGCTTATCCTTTCTAAACCATAGGTTTCTCATCTGTGAAATGGGGATAACTATGCCTATTCACAGGTTTATTGCACATCAAGTGCCACACTCCTCATATGTGGTAGTGATGTTCCTGTCACTGGATGTTACTGGTGGTGCAGGTGGCATTGTTATTAGTGCCATTACTGTTTTTAATAGCCACAAAAGGAGAAGGGGCATATTCTTAAGGCCTAAAAGCCATCATCGTAATAGCTCGACTAGAAAAACTGGGATTGGCACAAATTTCCTATAAACACAGCATCCTGGGAGAATAAATAATTCTAAGTAAAATCCAAACAAGTAACCATCCCAAAGACGAATGAAACAAACCTAGGTAGACCCCTGAGTCAAAGAAGTGGCAGCTACTTCATATACTTCATAGTGTCTCTGACCAGACTCCAGGATTCAGACAAATTCACAATGGGTACTGGGTTGTGTTCAGTAGTCTAGGTTTGCCTTTGAACTGTCTCCCTTCCTGGTTATGGAAAACCTGAGAAAGTTGCCAAGTAGTAGCTCTCACCATGTCCCAGTACATCCCTTTCATATTTTGTGGAACGCAACAGGTTAAAATTTTACCAAATACCAAGATACCTTTTACGTAAAACCTAACCCAACTGCAGGTCAGCTCCATGCAGGACAACAGTTATCCGCTGGGCACAAAGACAAAGTGAAGTCTTATTTTTATAACAAAAAATTAACCTCTGCATTAAAGTTGCACCTGAATGCAAAATCATATTCTCTGACCAATAGTACCACTTCAGCAACTTAGTGGATCTCAGTCTTGCTTTGTTTACTACTTAGTTCCAATAAGAAAAAAAGCCTGGTGGGGACAAATGTCACTCAAGAGGAACAACTCAAGGCACACAAGTGCCCTTGCTGACCATGGGACTGGAAAGCTGTGTACCCACAATCCTCACTTCAATTACCACAGAAACACTGCTCCATAGCCACATAATGCCTCTGGCTTCTTAATCCAGTTTAGCTAACAAATTAACCAAATCAAGTACATTTTCCAGAACTTTTACTAAAACCCTTGTGTCACTCATATATATGTCTTTGATAAATTCTGCTGAAAATCTGATAGTTTCTGCTATACTAGCAAAACGTTTGTTTTTCCCAAAGAATATCATTTAATGTATTAAGCAAATGAGATCTAGAGAACTCCATGTAGTTTCTTTTCCATCTCAGCTGCTGTTTGAAGTTTTACGTGTCATCTCAGTAATTACTATTACTCTAAGGGTTAAGTTTTTATATTTTTCAAAAAACACAACATTCTCCCTGCCCTTCCATTTGTGATGTTTGGAGTTGCTGTAGCTATTTGTTCAGACAGGCAGGAAGAGGTTGCCTGAAAATAGAGCTCACATGAAGGAAGACAAGGTAAGAGAGGGAATGAGAGAAAATGGGATACGCTAATATCTTTTGAGCCTCTGAATCAAGCTGTGCCTGAAGCAATACCCCTGTTTTCCTTCAGCAAATTTTTTTCCAGTGAAGTTCCTTTTGACTTTAGCCACTTTGAAATAGGTTTTTCTTCACTTAAAAGTTTTAGCTAACAATGAAAAAGTGGTTTGAGATTATTTGACAAAAACTGCCATTACTGTCATTCATTTTCTTGAAAAAAAAAAAAAAAAAAAAAAGGCTTTATGAATGACCCAATAAAGTAAAACTTTTGGACATCATGTTTATGACACATCAAATTTATGATAAAAATAAGTTACACACTCTTTCAAAGGAATTAGCATTAAAGAAAAAAGAGAAAACAAGCCTTTCAACTGCCATTCTTATTGACAGTTACCACAAAAGCAGAAAAGAGGAGCTTAGTAAAGAATCTTTAGACACAAAAGCAAGACAAGGAGGAGCACTGCAATACCTACAAGAAACTAATTTTCCAAAAAACACACACAATGTTCTAAGTGCGAATTTGGAACCTACCTGCCAGACCAAATCAGGATCAAAATTAAAACTTGAAGCTTCCTGCAAGAAGATAAATCACAAACAACTTTATGCACTGTGCTTCCTTTCATTTTCATTTTCATTCAGGTGACTTCAGCCCCCAGGCTCAATTGGCTGTTAGCGGATGTGATGTCTTCAAGCGAACTGGCCCCAGTTTGGTGCAGGCAGACGACATTCCCCAAGGTTCATCCCAGAGAAACGTATTTTCACAACTCCAAAGCCCAGAGCAGGTACACAAAGATCTAAAACTACCAGACTGTGGTTCTAAATAGTGCTTGAAATTAGGCAAGATTTCAGACTTTCACAACAAATATCTTTTGCAAGTTTATGCAAAGTATATATGTGGGGACAATGGGGGATTCTGAAGCTCATCCTGAGTACCTCCAAGAAGCAAGAAACAAATAGGGATAATTGCTCAGCCTAATTCATCGAATCTCCCTAAAACTACAGGGTCAATCGAGGCTAAGAAATCTCTTCTTAATTTTAAATTATACCAAGGCATTAGATGAGACTGATGTTTAACCAAGACTAAAATACAACAAGGTCTCAAGTTCTACTCAATAGGCTTAAGGGTCAGTTCGATTTGATAGTCAACTCTAAAGCCTGTACAAAATGAACTTCTAATATCGCCACCAATTTCATAGGGGTGTAATGTACAAAATCAGATGAGATCACAGGCTTCAGCATGAGCTATCCACATGGCTGAGATGACCCTCCATCAGCTGCCTCCATAACTCAATTTAGGTATGTTGAGGATAGATGCCAAAGGGACCCAGACTTCTTTGTTGACAAGACAGAAGGCAGTGCTTTTGTAAGTTAACAGGCATCCAAAAAGACAACAGAAAAACTTGAGGATCAGTTTCCTGAAAAATATATTGATCTTCATTTGTCCTACAAATACAAATGCCTTATGCCTACAAATCAGCAACATTGGCATTCATAAAAGGAGAACTCTAGGCTCAATTTACTGATAATATATGGATATAAATTTGCCCTAGTATTCAAGTTTCTCTGCCTTCTCATGTAGAAGGCCTAAGTAAGTTTTTTATTTATAATTTTTTGTCTTATAATAAAATATAATTCTAGAAACAGCAAACTAGCACCAAACAGATTTTCTACTTTCCAAAGTCAGAAGAAAGGTACCAATTGTCTTTGTATAGAGACATTTACCAGGAAACTACCCACTATATTAAAAGAGATGTTTCTCCTGTTTTTTTCCAAAGGCCTTGGGAACTCACTCTTTTTTTTTTTTTTTCTTAAACTATAATTTGGAAATAGATTGTGTATGCATCCTCTTCTCCATTACTATTTGCGCTGACTGGGAAGGTAGGTGTGAAGGTGGGTGGAAGGGGGACTGAGTCACCCTTTGCAAAAAAAAAAAATCAAGTCTTTTGTCCTTTTGTCTTTCATTTTTTCCTCTTTTTTTTTTTTCCTTTTTTTAAGCCTTGACCAAGTATCAGGTTTGGTTTCAATGTGAAGTGAGGATTAAACTCTTAATTATAAACCACTGGTCTACTGTCCCCCAATGTAGAATGTTCAGTTTCTTTTCAAAATGTTTAAATTACATAAGTTTAAAACAACTGATGAGCCAGAGTTAATAATTATTTTTTAATCCTATTGACATTTGGTCCCTTCAATGATATTTTTCAAACCTATATGCTACAAATATATTATGAGTATCTTGACTCATGTAACCTCATTTGAGGGACACATAGTTTTAAAGCAAATGACCTATATTAGTTTCACAAAATCCACTTGGATGAAGAAATTGTCATTGAATAGAAAGAAAGAATCCCTACTCAGAATTGCACATGCCAAGAATTCAAGAGCTCATACTAGTTTATTTTCCCTCAAAACTTGGGAATTTGGGGGCAGATAATTCAAAATCATATGCTGCAAGAAGGAGAGAAGACTCATTATTCTATCAGCAAGCTTTAGAATTCTCTTGCAGGCGCATGGTGACCAGCAAACTCCCTGAGTGTTAAACTTGATTGTGGAATTTTCAGATTGCAAACACCTTGGATGTAAATTTTTTGATTCTTAATGGAACACATTAAATTAAGAATTATTTATTATTGAGATAAATACTTTACTATTTGCATCCTTCTGGCAAAAACTGTAAATAAAAAGATTTCAAATTTCTAGACACTAGCAAAGAAATTGAGTTTCATTTAGATCAGTTTCTTAATCATAGACCATGGCTTGGCCATGCTTATTTACTTCACGATTCCTTAAATACCCTAAATCCTCTCAGAATGATTTCTCTATTCCTTTAAATAGTGTATCTCTATGCCCCCGCAGCTAAATAGGATACTTTGCAAGTATTTAATAAAGTGTTATTACTTCCAGCCTTGGTTAAGAGATAATACTGGGGCCACAAAACAGTATTATTTTTTGAAAAGTAAATTTTGCTGATAGCTTAATTTTAATTATTTAACAATACCACTCCATGTAAAATAACTTCCCTTTGCCAACTCTTAATTTTTCAAAGGTATCTTTTCATTATGATGTGAATAGGAGGAAAAGAATTATTACAGCTTAAAAATTTTACTTTTAAAACACACACAAAACCTCCCTAGGATTAGACATGCTCTGCAAAGGAACCCAGCTCCTTTCAACCAATGGATACTTGAGCCCTTTCTTCTTTTGCCTAGAAAAGGCATCCTAGTTAAAGGGCCAATAAATTAAATGAGAAAAATAATCCAGAGCTAAAGCACCCAGCAGGGTGCCTAGAGAAAAACACAAGGTTCATTTCACGTTTATATCAGGCACCATCAAGTTAGAATAAACTCCCAAGGCATAACTGTTTCTGACAAAAGTGCACAGTTCCTACCTTCATTTCAATGACAGTCTGGAGAGCCTTCGTCTTGGCTGGCTCTGGCTGAAGTTGGCTTCTTCGGTGCAATTCCTGGGGAGGAACACGATAGAAATAAGCCTGACGGTTCATCCTTCCGTTATACCATGACCTTTACACAGGTTCTACACAGCCTGCTGGGTCCAGGTTCCCTGTGCACAGATATAAACAAGCCACAGGTGCCTCTTCCCCCACACTCTTTAGCATCCCTCCTCCTTGGAGCCTGCGTTCCGGTGAAAAGCTCCTGGCACATGCGCTATTTCTGAAACTTCCATCAATAATTAATGTCAACTGTGACAAAGCCAGCAAGTAATCATAGTCCAAATACTGTTCAACACTGGGGCTGATGCCCAGCCATCAAATCATAATTTACTAAATTACATTACTCTGTGCTCCCAACAAAACACAGCAAGGAAACGGAGGAAAGAAAATGACTAACGTGGTTGCAAATCCTCCACACGCATGGCATTTTGCTACCGAGGTAGGTTTGAAATGAGCAATTTAAAACCATTTCAGTACAAATGTGTCACTTTTGAGAATGATCTGATGAAACCCTGTGAATCTCTTGCTTCCAAATTTACAGTTTCAGTCCTTGTTTAAAATCACATCTGTGAGTGATATATTTATGTATCATGATGCCAAGAAATTAAAATTGGCATTAGTATCAACAGTGTTAGAGGGGAGAAAAAAAATTGTTAAAGCCAGATGTGGACCCAAAAACTCCTGGAGGAACACTTCTTTAGGTAAAAAGCAAACAGCATAATTAAAATTTTTATCTTGAAGGATCACTTTATACATGCTTCTCCTCAAAGTAACAGTTCTGTTGAGACTTTGAAAAGTTTCTTTTAGCAGAATAGAAGAGACAAGAATGATGTGTGTTCAAATCACACTTCGATTTTCTTAACTATCAACAGCTTTAGGAGAGTGGGCAATGGCAGGAGTCAATAAAAGTGCTCACACATCCCCATGTTGCTGATTCAGGTCACCTATGGAATAATTCTATCAATACTTCTGCTTCCACAAAAATCAGTTTAGAGTCAACAAGGGGTAGTTCTAGACTTTCAGAACCACTGAATCACAAACATTTACTTTTTTGGGGAGGAGGGATGGAGTTTCACTCTTATTGCCCAGGCTGGAGTGCAATGGCACGATCTTGGCTTGCTGCAACCTCTGTCTCTCATGTTCAAGAGATTCTCTTGCCTCAGCCTCCTAAGGAGGTGGGATTACAGTTGTGCACCACCACACCCAGCTAATTTTGTATCTTTAGCAGAGATGGGGTTTCACCATGTTAGCCAGGCTGGTCTCAAACTCCTGAACTCAGGTGATCCAGCCACCTCGTCCTCCCAAAGTGCTGGGATTACAGGCGTGAGCCACTGTACCCAGACCATTTACTTTTTTTTTTTTTTTTTTTAAAAAAGAGCTATAAAAGGGGACTAATATCATTTCTAGATTTCTGCAAATAAAGACATTTAAAATTAACTCTACCTCTACCACTATCATCTACTATCACTGTCACTTCAAAAAGATAGAACATGTTAATGTAAAAGTTGTCAGAACACTCACGACCCACAATAAAAGACAGTCCTATCCAGGATAATATAAACAGGCAATCTTTTGCACACCTCCTATTATGCTGTTCTTATTATATTTGCCAGTGGCCCAAGAAATCTTACAGGTGGATCCTAGGGCACATGTGCAAAGACCAGTGCAGGGGAGTTAATGCTCCAGCTCTGCACCAGGCATCTGAAAAAAATATTTTCTTCTCAAAGTCATTACTGGCACAAATCAGCAGCCCTGTACAAAGTTGTTTCTCAACCTCCAATTTGAGAACTATGCTTCCTAACTATTAAAAATGCTCTCACATCAGTTAGGATATTTTCCCCCCTAGCATATCCCTGGGAAGGGATGAAGTCAATTATTACCGAACCTTTATAAATAGAGGAACAGAAAGAGATCCTGAGTCCCTCTAGAGGGACTGGACTGCAATCATCTGGCAACACTACCATTTTTAGACTCTCTGGAGATGGCAAAGGTTTTCTGAAGGATTGACCTTAAAGGCAGCTGTCCTTTATTGAGCATCTATGACATTCCTGGCACTACTTGTCTCGTTCAAGCCTCAGCACTACCAGATGAAGATGCTGTATATGGTGAGTCCAGTGGGCTGCTGAAAATTTAAAAACCTGCATCCGCCATGGTCAATGGCATGCCTAAATGCAGACTTGGGAAGAGAGACCCAATAACACCCCCATTGTATGGTATTTTCTACCACACAGACACAATATATGTAACAACCTCAAGAGCTTAGATAATAGTAAAGTGTAATAAGAAATTAGGAAATTATGAGTTTTTAATATAATTATTTAATTGTGAGTTAGTATATTTAATTTGTAATATTAGTTATTAGAACAGGTTTCTAATCAATTTGGAGTCAGTATGCTGGGTTTTTTCCAGCTTTTATGGGTCACTACAATCCAGTGCCAACACAGCATTGGTGGATCCCATGAGATTTAAACCTCCACAAAGAAAAAATCTGCTTGGTCCTCAACATTACTTCCAAGATTGCTGGAGTTCACTGGACCAATAAAATCTAATAAACAAGAAAACAGAAAGTAAGTCACTTGTCAGAGTTTCTCTGTAGTAAGTGGGAGATGAAATACATTCTGATACCAGGTGGCATCAAAATCATCTTTTTAAAAGCCAGGAAAACAATTCTTAATAATTCCATACCATAACTACTCCCAGTTCCTGAATAAAAATTATAACTTGAGGAGAAAGGTTAAGTTTGTATAAAACAAGGAAAAATAATGAAGAAGCAATTAAGCAACACAGTGAAAATAAAAACCATAAAGGCATGTTCTGTTGTAATTTCTGCCAAACACGAAAACATTGTCAACAGTGAACATGCAATAAAAAAGCTAAACCTGTAGCAATAGTTATGCAAAAATGGAAACAGAGTGCTCTTTGCTACAATTATACAAATTATATTATAATATAAACCCGCTCAAAATCCAGATTGGGCCTTTACCCTCTTTAAAGGGTGTCACTCCTTTAAAAATAAAATAAAATCTCCAATTACCAAAGAATTGCCATTTTCTTAGTTACAATATTTTTCAATCCTGACTTCACAGATTCTGAGAATTACCCTGATTCCTAAGGTGTCAGGTAAATGAAAATTGTAATCTATATCCAGACTACATGGACCATCTAAAAATTCCATCTCAGACACTTCATCTATCTTTGAGATTTGGGATTATTATAATACTCACTCTGGCAGAGGACCAGTTGTCCAAAGAAGGTTTGTGCTCCTTTTTCATAGTATAGAGTTGTTGGTAGGAGGCCCCACAACCACTACCTAGATAGAGCCATGGGACTTATTTCTGGCCAGTGGGATGTGGTTAGAAATTAGCAATTCAACCAACTTCCATAAAAACTTCCTAACTAGTCCTCAACGTTCCCTCTTTTCCTATCTACTGGCTAGAAGTGAAGGACTTCAATACCCAAGAAGAGGGTGTAGCCTCAATATGAAAGAAGCCCACACTTCTGAAATATCATTTGAAAGGCTGCTGAAGACCTACATTGCATGGTTATATGAAATAAAAATAAATTTCTATTAAGTTAAGCCTAGGAGCTTTCAGGATTTATCTACAGAAATCCCAGCTCTCTCTGCTTTAAGAACTGCAATGGCTGCAAGGCAAAATAATACCTTATTAGTCCTGTATTATTTGTTGCTTTTGAATCACCAAAGTGATTCTAACGTGTGATTGCTTGCCAAGTTTTCTAAACAGACAGTAGGATAAATTGGTTGCTGGAGGCTCCAACTGCCCCTAACCATCTGAGAGATGCACCCATTATGCACTAATCCTAAACAACTAATGAATTTCCCCAGGAGCATTTGATGCCCTCTCACATAGGTATGAATGAGTATAAGATCTAACTTACTGTGATAGTTTTTCATGACAGTATTATTACTTCATGAAGTGCGATGGTACTTAAACTTTTCTGAGTCACAGATGTCTGTAAAAATCAAATGCAAGGAGTAGATTTTCTCTGGAAATGAACACAAAAGCACATGCAAGCAAAATGGTGTGCACCATGTCAGCTGGTTCACAGAGCCTGTATCAGCATCCCAGAAATTTACCTTTGAACCAGACTTTGGACTAAGAACAACTTATTGGGAGGCATGAGCACCGTACTAGAAGCCAAAAGTCAGGAGCCTGCAGTCCAGCCTGAGACCTTGGGTCTGCCGCTTCCCTCTCTGATTGCAGAATCAGGAGCTTTATGAATAGGTTTCTAATGCTCTTCCAACTCTAAGAATATCCAGCTTTTTAATAGATAGTTGATTCTGAAATGAGGACCTCTGGCTTGTATTTCTAGTCCCACCCATTCTCACTTTTAAAAACAACAGAAAAAATAAGAGAAGAAAATTGGCAGCATCACAAAATTTAATATCTCACTATGATATCAACCCCCACATTATATATTTTCCTGTAATTTCATGACAAGGTTGGCTTTAGCTAGTGCAAAATTGCTAGCTCTTTCAGCTGATTAACATGGAAAAGATACGAAGAATCTAGAATTTTGAGTAAGAAATCTCAAGTGGTTCATCAAAATAATACTTCTTGGCATTAATGAGAATCTAGAGTCTAGAGTTAATCTGGATGAATACTAGATGAACCTGGCAGAATAAAGCTCACACACACCACATACTTTCTTCAACAGACCAAATAATAATAATAATAATAATAATAATGACAATTAAAAACTTAACTTTCATTCCAAAGGTAATTATTATTTTTATCTGGCCCTTATCCATTATTGTTCTGGAAATCTATCACTGTATAACAAACCACCTCAAACTTAATGGCATCAGACCACCACCCTTGTATTATGCTCATGAATTCTAGGTCAGTTTCTCGCACATGAATGAGAAACTACATGGTCTTTTATTACCTAACCTTGAAAGTCCTATAACACCACTTCTGTCATGCTCTATTGAAGCATTCACAAGCCTGCTTTCTAAAGGAGGGAGTGCCAAAGAATTTGAAGCCTTGTTTTAAAATTGCCATTATTATGGACCAACACCAATTGGAGGA